TGATAACGCCTTGCCAATATTCTAATTGTAACCTATTCCAAAGTATCTTTCGGGTGAAGTTTATCCTCAATTTATTGGCATTACCTCCTCGTTCTTCTCACCTTGTAGTCCTGGGAGAATTTACGTGAACAGATGAAAGGATCTATAACTGCATCAACCCGAGAACTGAAACATTATCTCTTGCAATACTGTCCCTCGCCTTGTATGGCAAAACCCTGTCGGCACATACCTGGCGTGGATATTCCGAACGCTTGCAACACTGTCGGGCCGTTTGAGGTATTTATTTATTTATTAATTTATTTATTTCAAATGGCAGGCGTTTTGATAGCTATCATTAGCCATTTAGCTGACTTCGGGCTTCACAGAGAGAAGGTTCATCAAAGTAGCAGAAAGTCGAGGGGTGGGGAACAGAAGAGCGATTCATAGATGTAAAAGAGGCAGACAGACATAAAGGTAGAGAAAAAGGTAAGATGAGTACTGTGAAAGGGGTCGAATATGACAAGCAGTTGGGCCATGGTATTTTGAAGTCAGAAGTCAAATGCCGGTTAATAGACTTTTTTGCCATATGAGTATACGTTGCCCAGGGTGCACCACGTGGAGGTAAGTCTATCCCACATCCCGCGTTTGAGGTGTATATGTAATATTTATTTATTTATAAAATATATTTATTTTGGAGTATCTTCCTTAAGTGGTAGTGATTTCGCAGTTTCCTAATCTATAAAAACGCCTATTTTGTATAAATTGAAAAATGGTCTCGCGAACCTACTAATCATTCTTGTCAAAGTTCGCTTCACTTTTTAATATGCGTTCATTTAAACTCAGTTATCGATTGAATAGAACTAAGTTCTCTTAAGACGACAATGGAAATAATAATAATAGCATATCAATATTTTGACTGGAACCTGATTGATATTTAATTATTACGTATTAAATTCTACACTTTTATCTATTAGTAAAGGATTATATGGTGGTATCATTGGTCTCCAGGATGATAATAATTAACTTAATTTCTAAGAAGTTACTTTAACCGACGTTAGATAAAAGTGCATATGTTCTGTCTGATTTAGGATTATCTTTGTCTACTGTGAATTGCTTACTATTCACCTTTCCTCCTAATTTGTGGGTCTCTGTTCTTATGTTAACAATCTCTTGAAAATTTAACGTTTATTACAAGTTTTTTGTTGATGTCTCACTATGGTGTCTCGATCTTACTTGTCTGCACCTTACCTGCTTGACATCGTCACTCTCAGGTCAACCCCTGGTGAGTCGGCTTCTCTTTCCTGGTGCTATTATCTCATGGGACCAGTGATTCCAAGAGACGTGTTGGTTTTTGAACTACATCAAAAATAAAGGCAATTTCTTATTTCTAACTTAATTTCCGTGGATTTGTCATGGTGCCTAGGATTCATAATGAAACCAAAATACGGCAAATGTCAAGTCAATGGACATGAAAACTTTGACAACTGAAGGCAGGACAATTTCTTTTTCTAACAACAACTTACTAACATAAGGCAAAATCGATTAGAAATTTCGAGAAACTTGTTGCCAGCAGTCCTGTGCTAAAATTCGCGTGTTTTCCTGATGATCAGAATTTGTTAGAAAAGTCAATATAGGTTAGATTACCTAAAGCATGTTCCTTCAGACAGTCTTATTTTAAAATTCAACTTTGATTTGCTAAAGCCAAAGAGATGTAGAAAAGTAGAAGGAATTGCCTCTAAGTGTCAATCCTTTCGCCACAGACTCTGTTGTGGCTATTATAGCAACTGCTCGCTCTTTGCCTTCACTAGGTCTCTTGAGAGTCAATGCATTTTTTGCTATGAAGAGAATATTTTGTTTAAAAAGACAATGTCAGTTGTCAAAGGAACTTGCTTGTCAGACGGATCGGAATAATAATGAAACATATGGTCAACTCATTTCTGCTAAGTATTCAATCGCAATATTTTCTCGGTCTTTGAGAGTACCAATAATACTAATAATGACTGAAAGTGTGTGTGTTATTCACGGATACTTTGTAGTTTAATTCATCAGACTTGACTGATTATTAAAAGAAATATTTCAAATTAAAATTAGGCGGAGGTAAATTATTCCCCAAGGTCATATTTAGGCTTACCTCAGTACTTAGAAATTGGTTAGATAATATTTGTGCTCTTATAAAGCGCCAATCATTTATGTTCTACAGGACGATTTCGAATGCATCTGCAAAAAAGACTCCGTGTGGGACCAGTCAACACAGAGCTGCAAGCCAATTAATCCCTGTTTTCCAAAAGGCTATGTACCCTGCTCCAAAGAGGGAACTATATCATGTGTCGCCCTGAATATGCAAACTCCCCTCTGTATCTGCAAACCTGAATATACGGGGAAAGATTGCGGGCAGCTGCGAAATGCCTGTTTGAGACGATTTAATAAAGTGAAGTGTTGACTTTCATATTTTGCAATTAATTTACTACTTACTCCTAATAAGTAACACCTTTGTTATATAGACGGATGCCAATGGAAACACAAACTGCGGTATTATCCAGGGAAATATCTGCAACCCAATTTTGGGAACTGACTTCTACAAATGCCTTTGTGGTATGGGGTGGGTCGCATCTCCGACACTGCCTTATGATAACTGTGATGTCTTGAATGATCCCTGTAATAATGTGGCCATTGATGAGGTTGACGGGACAACTGCGGAGACCAATTCGACCGTAAATTCTAAGAAAGGGCCACGAATAGGTGCAACAATTGACTGTCAGAATGGAGGATTTTGCTCAAGTTCGCCTGATAATTCTAAGGCAGCTTGTTTATGTCCTTCAACAGCATCGGGTGAACAAGGATTTACAGGCGCGTTATCATTACATTTTTTGGTTACTTTCATGGCACTGTCTAATAACGTATTTTAATCATGAACTTATGTGTTCATCTTGATATTCTCATTTTTGCATTTTATAATCTACTTCGAATTCCACTGGTAGCATATTGAAGTGTATTCTTGAAATCTATCGAACTGATGGAAGAGCAATGTAGAAGTGTACTTAACAACCATGAATTTATTCTAATTACGCCTCGTTCCAACTAGATGAGGCGTCTTCCATTAAACAATGACTTTTCATATTAATTAGTCATATTTAAGATTTCAATTTATATTTAAATTTTCATTTAACGTATGCCATAAGTTTCTTTTTAGATGTCATACACTACTTGCCATTTTCCTTTTAATTTTCGATGAGTTAAAATGTTGCTGGAGGATATTATTGAATTAAGCAAAATAAAACTGGAACTTCCATTGATGCTTTAAAAACAGATTTATTAATATTTTGTTTCTGTTGACATTCTTTTTTGTTTATTTTTTCAAAAAATATACACGAGAGTTTGGTAATACTAAAACAAAAAATGCAACTGCTTAAAAGAAGGGAACTCAAATCTTCAGTCAAAAAAACAAATAATGTGTGTTCATTTTGAAAATTGATAAGTCTTTAGTATTTCATGCTCCCACATTTACAGCGTGCTTGAATCATTTGTTTTTTTAAGGCGCCGCTTATTAAGGACAATACCGCTTAAATTGAAAATGGCAGTAATGAGGTAAAAAAAGATTTTATCTTCATTCCGATCAACTCAGTGGCACTGCTACAAAGGCAATCAAAATGAATATGTTGTTTCCATTTATATGTAGAAGGACTCGTTTCCCCAAGTCCAATAAGTAGATCTCAAGTACGAATGAGAAGGTAAGGTAGACAGTGAGAGAGCGAGGTTGTTTCCGAATTGATATAAGCCCCTCCTCGCCTAGTTTCTACTATAATTCGCAGACCTGCAGACCATTCCCGAAGCTTTTAGACTCCGTTTGCGCGTGCAAATCTCCACTTCACCACCCAATCACGCTTCAACGCTATCAGCACATTTCATCTCTGCCCTTCGTCCACCCTCTCCCTCCCTCCCCCCTCCCCCCCCCCTCCCCATCCTACTGCTGCTTCTACTACTCTCCTAAAAAAGCATCCACATACAATCACCTCTCGGGCAGTGTTAAGACTCCCTTTCCGCTCAGGGAAAGTTGGTATACGCCCCCTTCTCCCTTCCTCTCCCTTCACCGTAACTTGCGCGCTCTTCTCGTTTATATTTATTTGGGGGGGGGGGGGGGGTTTGNTTTTTTTTTGGGGGGGGGGGGGATGTTTGCATATACGTGAGTGTCTGCTTCTGCCCTACCTAGCCCAGCCAACCTTTACCTGTCAGTGCCTACCTAGAGGTGGGTAGGACGCGCATATAATACTCTGGCGCCGGGTTTCTACCGATTGCAGCTAACTGATAACAGAGAGCAGCAGCAGAAAGCTCTAATGGAGAAGGTTGATGGGAGGGGGAGGAGGCTAATAGAGACAACCAATGCCAGCATAGCACTCCGTGCGTTGTTGCCTCGCGTTATGAACGCTGTTCAGCGGGTTGATACGACGCGCACCTACGCGTATGCATACACCTTGAAACTTGGGGGAAAGTGAGTTAAGGGTTAGAGAAGGGAAAAGAGATCGCGGAATTGTGATAAGGGAGTGTTCTGAAGGTAAGAGAGAGAGTGAGAGAGAGAGAGAGAGAGAGAGAGAGTAATAAGTGCTTATACGTCGTCGTGCCTCTTCTTGCGAAAGTTGTTGGGTGGGAGGGATGGCAGCAAGTGGAATCACCAACAAAGTGGATCGACCGATAGAGGGAAGCATCCTGTTTCTCACTTATCTCCTCTCCATGTGCTGCCCAGATGCGCGAGCGCCAGCTTTCTCGACCCTCACTCGTTCTCGATAGGTTGTTCAGACCTTGCTTACTTGGGAGGGGGGGAGATGGGGGAGAAGGAGGAGGAAGGGAGTGTCTGCAAGTTATTAACCCTGGCGACATGCATAATCCGAATTAATTTAACTTCCCACTACTTCGTACTATCTCTTGTAAAAGAAAGAATTTGCCTACGGCTATCTTCTCTCCAATTCAAGGAGGAATAAAGTTGAGCACCTATGAGATATAAAGACAGTCTAAATAAAAATAATTGGCCTAATGGGAGAGCTTCACTGAACACAGCTAAGTATTGAATAATTGATTTTCCTCATTTTCGAAATTTATTTAGTTGGCTGGGAGCAGCACTCTGGTAAGTGACTTTTTATCGATCAAAAACTAACCTAGAGCAGAATATAATTCCATTAAAAGCCTTCTCGATATTCCCCTTTAGTTATATTACCTCTTATCTAAAGACAATCTTAATGGTATAAGGAGGACAATAAGGTGATGAAGCAAGGGAGCAAAGTCAATTCGATTATAGTGGGAATATTGCTCTACTCTTTTTTCCGGTCTGTCAGAATTTGCCAAAAAACCAGTTTTGATTGATGAATAGAAAATGGTTCTTAAGTAGTCTTGTTTTACATTATTCCTGTCAAACAGATATGGTAAACTTATTTTAGGTAATCCAATTAATACTCCTTGAGGTCTTATACTTACTTTACCCACTCGCACTCGTTGGAGAATGATCACTTGGAATAAAATGGAATTGATTATGAGATTATGATTATTGAAGTCTTTTGATCTTTTTTTTACCTACAACTCAAAAAAGGAGTTTCTTCTTTCCCTAATAGATATTTTTTACCTAGTTTTAGTTTGACTGCTTGTTTTGCTTGCACTTATTCAGGAACTTATTGTGAAATCCCCCGGGGAATGTGGTCCGGATGGACAAAATACAGCGACTGCCGCGATAAGGACTGTGGAATCAGTCGATATAAGTGGCGCAGACGTCAATGTCTCAACGACACTGTCACGATCGATAACCCAGACATGAATCCAGAGAAGAACTCCATTAATTGCTTTGGTATCTCCGAGGAGGTGAGTGATGGGATTCATTTTGCAAACCCAGTTCTATCACTATTCGCTTTCAAATGATTACGTTTCTTAATTTGTTTATTGCGGTGCTTCTACAGACCTATTGTGATACTTGAGACGTAGATTTTAAAACTGAATTCGACTAAAATACATGCTTTGTTCATATTTCCCCATACTCCATTCCCTTTTAAAGTTCTTATAGCAATGTAGAAATCGATATTATACTTGATTCTGAGATTCCATTGAAATTAATGACTAATGGCACATTGGTTTTATCGCGTGGTGCTGAATAAGTCAGAGTTCATTTAAAATTAGGCCATAACTTGTATAAAACAAGTGCTTATTAACACTTCTCCTTTGTGACTAAGCACTAGTTACAAAAATTAGGAGATAAAATTTAATAAATAAATTAGTCTTTTGGGTCGCATACCATACGGACTAAAACACGTTGACTCCTACCAATTCAGACAAATTTAATTAAAAAGTAGCATTTAATGGCAAATATGATTATGATTCCCCACTACAGCATCTGATCCATGCAAATGGGTTTCGATCTAAAGATTTCGTCGAAGAAACGAGGCAAATTCCTGTTCATTCTATTTGTACTCCAGCTCAACCTATGGTAAAAAGTTACTTTTAATTCGATTTCACTTTTTTGCTCGCTAAATTGAGAGAGCCACTTATCCAGTCGCCATCGTTCACAATCCGAGAAAATTTATCTCTCCCTCTCTCCCCCTCTTTCCGGTCTTCCATCCCATCCCTTCCCCCACTCCCCTCCCCCACCCCCACCCCCACCTTCCTCCTCCACTACCTCGAATATGTATTTTTCCCACCTGGCGCGTAACCTAGTGAGCTCCTCGCTTTCCATTAATTTTAATGGAGTTTTTGGTGAAAGGATTGTGAGCTGATGTGCCTGAGTCTACCTGTTATACTCAACTCCCACTTCCTCCTCCCCCCCTCCCCCTCCCCCTCCCACCCCACGTTGCTCATACGATACCCTCACAGTGTTCTAAGCGCCATTAAACATGATAGCTGTAAATATAGAGACAAAAAAATAGAAGGAGCAATGAAGGGAGGGAGGGAGGAGGAGGAGGAGTCTAGTACCGTGATCTCGAGGAGCCTCAGTAACGTGTCCCCCCCCCAACCTCCCCCCTCCCTCCCTCTCCTTCAACAAGCTTTATACCCAAAAATCTTTGTCCCTTAGTAACTAAAGAATTAAATATCTAAATTGTACGCAAACTCATGAGTTAATGGTGCCCCAGCCAATATCATAATCAGGTATGCATGGGAAATGAAAATTGCGGACAGTAGATTGTATCTTGAGTATACAATCTTACCGAGAAGAAGCAAATTGTTGGGAGGAAGTGAGTCCATAAGTGTGAATAGATATATGTGGTTATATTATAATGCCTTTTATTGACTAGTTTCCTGCATCACCAAAATGTATTTGATTACACTGATTAGTATTTATTCATTTCGAATGGCAGGCATTTTGATAGTTATCATTAGCTCTTAGCTTACTTCAAATTTCACAGAGGGGAGAAACATCAAAGTTCAAGAGGGTGGGCCGAAGAGTGCTTTGCAGATATAAAAGAGACAGACAAAAAGGCAGAGAGTAGGGTAAGGTGGATAATGTAGAAGTGGTCGAATATGACATACAGTGGGGTCATGATAGCTTGTACTCAGAAGTCAACTGCAAGTTAATAGACTTTTCGCCGTATGAGTATACGTTACTCAGGGTGCACCACGTGGAGGTAAGTCTATCGCACAGCCCACACTGATTAGTATATTTCATTACATCTTTAATGTGGAAACTTCGACGAGAAGGCAGAAACTGAAGGAATTTTCAATGTTAGGAGTAAAAAATGGTCTCATTGCATGGGTGTGCGATAGACTTACCTCTACGTGGTGCACCCTGGGCAACGTATACTCATACGGCAAAAAAGTCTATTTATCGACAGTTGACTTCTGACTTCAAACTACCATGACCCCACTGTATGGCATATTTGACTACTTTCACAGTACTCACCTCACCTTTCTCCCTGCCCTTGTGTTTGTCTCTTTCACATCTGTGAATCACTCTTCTCTTCCTCCTCTCGACTTATTGTGACTTTGATGTTCCTCCTCCCCTCTGTGTGAAGCTCGAAGTCAACTAAAGGGCCAATGACAGCTATCATAAAGCCTGCCAGTTGGCATAAAATACAACAACTTAGAGCAGCCAGGAGCGATAAGTTTAGCATAGCGAAACCACTAAAGCCTACATAGAGCGATGCGAAAAGCCTAAATAAAGTTTTTTATTGCATTTCAGCTTCGAAACTGCGAGGATAGCGTTCCTTGTGAAACATACCGACTCTCAGGTTACTATCGTCGAGAAATCTTCCACTTTCCTACTCTCCACACGTTTCTGATCTTTTTACTGATTGAAGTAAGTTTATTGTTGGCCTAAATGAATTACTAAACAGTATTTTAGAATCCTGAGTAGACAAGCTGAAATCAATATAGCACATGGAGAATGCTAAACGCAAAGTGCTTGAACCGATTGTATCTCTTTAGGTTAAGATATTCGTTAGTTTGGTTAGGGGTGATCCGTCCTACAAAGAGTTTAGAAAATTAAAAAGAAAACGATTAATCTTCTTCATGATTGAAAAAATAAATTTGAGATTCAATCTTGAGGGGAGGCAGAGTGAAAAGGTCAAGAGCCTCAGACATGTCTAGACATACGATTCTGGTGGAACAGATTGTTTCCTTTTGTCACAAAACATTCCTTTCTCCAATTCTGATACAGATTTTCCACTTAAGGCACAATATGTTCCGCCTTTTGGATAAGCTTTCGTGAGTATTCGCCTATTTATGAGCCAACGGAAATTTTTCCATGTCTGAAAAAGTGGTATTTTAAGTGAATCTTATAGCATTTTGTCTTTAAAAGTAGGCTTTAGAGTTCTAAATTCTAGGACTATTTGAACGCAATAGTAAACTGCCCAAGAATATTTTGCTTGATTAAATTTGTTTGGTCTCACCTAAGTAGATTGAGCAGCAAACTGTCGATTCATCTCTACTCTTCTCTTCATGAGCAGTGTGTCTTTTAAGTGATTATAATTTGCACCTCTATTTTAGCTGATAGTCACTTATCTCTTGTACAAAACTTGTGGATTCTGGTTGGTAAGGTCTATCCTACGGGGATTCGAGTCTTTGAAGGCCAAAAGGGCAGCCCGCCATGCCTTGGGTACTCAAAAAGCCGTAACATATGTCTGTGAAGAGATATCACGAAACGAAGCACAGAATATTCTCACCAGGACCCCAACACCTCAGCTATTCATTGATGGCAGAGTTGAATCACGATCAGGTTCTCCGGAACGCTTAGACAATGAACAATACCTTGCAATAATACGCCAACGAATAATTCAGCGTATTCTTGAGGTGGTTGAGAAGAAGGAAAAAGAAAAAGTTAAGTTTTATAGAGAACTAATATTTTCAAAGGCCCGAAGAATGGGGAAGTCCACGATATGTACTCTACTTGGGTGGGCCATTTCAAGCGTACGGTTCACTACTACCTTTGTGAGGACATTTAGAGCTGTCATCAGAACGGAAACAAGTCGGCCGCCTAATGAGAAAACAGTTGAATTAACGGGTGAGAGAAAAGGAAGAATTCCAGGTGCCCTGACAAGACAGTTAGCCATAATCTCAAGTGGCAGGAAAGACCACCAGGTAGGTGGAGAAAGGAGAACGCTTTCCAATCTAAAAGAAGGAACTAAGCAAGCAGGCAAGACCTTAGTTGGAAAGGTGGAGGAAAAAACTCTCTCGATGGTGAATTTGCTAGGCTCATACCTGCCAAAATCGCCAAGTAAGTCGAGGGAAGACACTGCAGTGGTCAAGGACACGACGTGCACTTCGGAGAACTTGGTGGTGGAGGAAGAGGAGGAGGAGGAGGGGATTAAGGGAGAGAAGAAACGTGCAGTCTTGACGGATCAGAAACCTGTGCCACAAAAACGACCCAGACGAAAATCGAAACACAAAGCGTATATCTCGGATACATTGGATCAAATTTCATCTAGCGAATTCAATACAGATACTGACGATAACGATGACAATGACAGGACGTTAACGCCTGATCCTATGCCTGAAACACAGCTGAAAGGATCGAAGCCCGAAGAAAATACAATTTCATTACGTCCATTTATACCTGAATCCCGTCAAAGTCATAGGAAGCATGGAAAGGATTCTGAAGGAGTGTCAAAGCGAATTGAACGCAAGAAAGAAACTCACTCAACTAAGAGGCTTCCTTCGAGAAAAGATCTGAATAAGCCCTCAGGTACTTTCCAGATAAATGCCGCCCAACGATTCACTAGCACAACAGGAGAACACAATTTACCGAAAATTCCGGAAGATAAAACCGTAACAGACGATATGCATGCCCCAGTTCCTGTGACTTCTACTAACAGAAGAATAAGAAAGACTACATCCGCTGGAGTTTTTGAAAAAGGAGGAAGAAATATGGAAGCTGGTGAGTCTGGTGGTCCGAGTGGTCTACCTCCACGTCCAATTAGAACGACAAGTTATCCTCAAACTCGCTATCCTCCAGCAGTAGTCGAAGTTTCCTTAGAAGATGAAGATGATGAGGCGAAACATTCGAGAAAGCATGTTACAGCGAAACCAGATGAAAAGCAAACTCAAAAATGATTAAAGCAAATAGTTGAATTACTTGTCGTTTTTTTGTTCGTTATTTTATGTAAGCTTGGTGTTTTAAAGTTTAAAAAGTCAAAAAGGTGGAGACTTAAAATGTTTGATATACTATTGTTTAATTGGACATAATGCCATCTAGTTACCTTATTTACGAGTTAATAGTTGGTTGTAGTTGGTTGTATACGAGTCTATACCACAAATGGCATTGATTTTTGCCAAATATCCCTAGATTGTGGGGGAGGGGGGGGGGTTTCCTAAATTGTTATGGAATTCTGGTAAAATTGTGACAGCAACACCCTAGGAGAACAAGAAAGCTTTCAAGAGTAGCAGGGATACTTAGTATGGGAATATCAGTGTGATTTGCAAACGATTCGTAAGTTACTATATTGGACCTAACCTTCAATCTTAGATGTACTATTTCCGTTTTGATAGGCACTTTCAAAAAAAAAGGCTTCATACCACGACAAGTAGTAACTTTGGACAAAAACAGAAGTGGGAAACAGAGTTGGTTGTCTATATTGGTCAAAGGTGACTTAGTGGTCAATCTGTTAAGTCCGAGTTTAGTGGTTTGAGTTATATTAGTTTGCTTCCATTAAACTTACTTTCAGCTTATTCATAGTGGGCGAAGGGGTTGGGGAGGGAGGAGGGGGTGGGGGTGGATCGCAAATACTATTTTTGAGTCCTTTGACATACTTTCAAAGTGCCATTATTACTATTAATAGACTACTGGCTTTTTACTTGCTGTCGACTCAAACTTCCCACTCACTGAGTAGAATTACCCAGTTTGTAGCAGTAGTGCGTATGCAGTAATAATCCCATTCCCCTCCACCATCACCACCACCACCACCCCCCCTCCTCCTCCTCGAAAGATCATTACCATGATCCATAAATGTCCCCTTTCCAGAGAAGTTGGGCAACTGATACAATCTGAGGCTGAGCTTGAGGCAGAAGATGCCCGCTTACCTTGTCTATAAGGGGTTGGGTAAGTAAACATTCAAACAAGCATGTGTGTGTGTGTGTGCGCGTATTTGAGTTCAGGCGCATTAGGGAGTATAATCTGTGCAAAAGCCAAAATTTCAAAAACAATTTTGATTTCGAACTTGAATACCCGCCCTCCCCCCCCCCCTATTCCCCTCCAACAAGACGAATAAAGAATTTGAAGTCATTCGTAAAGGGCCATTCCCAAATGCTGACTTGGTAAGTAGTATTACATCGTACTCACATTAAAATTGAAATTCCGCTTGTTACTCACCGAAATATGACCCTAATTGCTCTGTTTACCCAAATATATACCACCACCACCCCCCCCCATATCATGCAAAAGTAATGAGAGTTAATTATAAGCACGAAGACACCTCATTCCCCATCCGCACCCCCACCTCTCTCTGTTTTCTTGACCGAATCCGTCATAAAAACGGGGATATTTGCAAGAGACTTTTATTTCCGAGAAGGGATGATGTTCAGAGGTCATGCAAAAAGAAAGTATTAATAGAATAGATTTCAGTATTCATTGACTTTAAAGCAAACTCAGAAACAATTCACTTTTCTCGTTGCTAAATCTCCTTTTGATACCAATCTTGTTTGCTTCAACAACAACTTTATAGGTATTAATCTTATCGACTTTGGAATAATTCGTCTATGTTAGTATCATTTCCAGTATAAAAAAAAACAGAGTAAGCAAGTCTTTACTACAGAGGTCGTCTAAATAATAGAGAAATCGTCAGGTTGTCTTCATTTCCATCATATCTTGGCAACTTTCCCTAAAGTAACCAATTAAAAACTGGAACATCAATATGAGTATTTAAGTTCAGGTCATGACCTTCTGTGCCATTATTAATTACATTCGATCGATCGTAAAAGTTGGCTAAGCAATCATGCAAGGTTTCGCACTTTGCTCTAAATTGAATATAGTTTAATTGAAATTTAAGCATTCAACCATTAAGAAAGGACGCTAGTCCTAACTTATTCCAACCACATTTGAAGAACACGCAACTGACGCTTTATTCTCTAGACCATCTGACACCTAAGAACTTCTGTGATATGCGTTTTTGACCCAGTCTATAAGGCCCCTTACTTCTACTAACGTAAACGACAGACTAAATCATGAATTATCTCATTTCGCCAATATTCCAGTCACCCATTAGCACCCAACCTGGATTGGAGGGAGGTGGGGGTGGGAGGTGGAGTGGGGTGGGGTGGGGAGGGGAGGGGAGGGAAGACATGGGCGAGTGTGCTTGTCGCCCGTTTTTTTCCCGCCACACTGAAACCACACTGAAACCACTGCCATCGTATGTCGTCTACGTCGTTCATCTTGGACCATCTGCTTTGGATGAGTGATTTTTGTGAGCTCATGGGGAGAAGCACCACTCTAGCTGGCTATCCCTTCCTGAATTGTGGACATGAGTTCGAATTTAACTTTTTTAATCCACATTCACTGGCGTACACAAAGAAGGGCTTAAAAAAATTAGAAGTTTATTTGTATAGCACTCGCGCAAAGAAGATCATTCACGGGTGAAAGAATTTCCATGTTGGACTGACCAATTCGATTGCGTTTGGATTAATGTCCAAATCAGTGGGGAACTCGTTGCCATAGCATTTCAAGTGGAGCGTGAATAGGAGCCCGGAATATTCAGTAGCCACGTGGTTTATTAATTTTGATCCTGTTTTTTGTTAAATCCTCTTATAGGAAAAAGGACTGGGAAAAAATAGCTTCTTTGGAGTTAAAGGAAGTGGGAAATAATTGTCTTGCAGCAGCTAACTGCTAAAGATATCATTATCGATTTTAGCAATTACTTATCCACCCAGTTAATGCAATGGATTTAGATAGATAGTTCTGAGTAACTATCACGTGAATTCAGTATTCTGAGAATTAAGAGATCAATGTTAAAATGCTCACTGCCCATCAGACTGACTCAGAATGCGCGTTTAGACGAATATTTCATTTGAATAAACCACGACGCATCGTTTCCTTATTATTATTATTATCATTATTATTATAAATCAAACCAATTCAGCTTCCATTTAAGTTTTTCTCCTGGTCGGATGCGTATTTGCGACAAAAGTGATTCAATAATTGAGTAATAAACACCACATTGGTATTCTCAATAACACATACTAAATTTCTATGACCTTACTTTGACCTTCAAACAGTCCATTTTTTCGCGTTTCATTACAGGAGAACAAACTGAAGCAACTAGGAAATGAATAAATAAATAATAACTTAATGAGTAATGGAGCATCATTGATACTGATCAAATAACTAGAACGGAAGCATTGATCAATTTTTTGTGAAGAATTTCGATTTCTCCAAAAAAGGGCCAGAAAAGAATATCAAAAATTCACTTTCAGTTTAAATATTAAAAAAAAATTAATTATCTATTTGATGGTACATGAATATTAGAGAGATAACGGAAATATTTGCACTTTTATCGAAATAGGAAACTGGTAATGTAAAATGTTCCCAACATGAATCCCTAAAAGTACAACGTGAAAAAAATAACATTCCAAAAGGTTCTTTAAACGCCATTACTCAGAGGTTTATAGAACGCAAAGAGGGAAAGGTGCTGCCTTGAACGAAATCCTCTTTTGGTTAGCCATTCTGAACGGTATTTATTGATTTATTTATATCATTAGCCCTTTAGTTGACTTCAGGCTTCACATAGGGGAAGGAACATCGAAGTGGAAAAAAGTCTGGGGGGTGGGAGACAGAAGAGTGTTTCATAGATGTAAAAAAGAGACAGACACAAAGGTACAAAAAAGGTGAGGTGAGTACTGTGAAGTAGTCGAATATGACATACAGTGGGGTGATGGTAGTTTGAAGTGAGAAGTCAACTGCTCAGTTATAGACTTTTTTGCCGTATGAGTATACGTTGCCCAGGGTGCACCACGTGGAAGTAAGTCTATCACACACCCCCCATTCTGAATGGTTAAAGACCACAATCTCGATAATAGTCGGCATGGATTTCTTCTCAATGACTTACTAATCCACCCTGCTTACAAACCGTTGGCAACCTGTCTAATAAGGTGTACAATATGATATCTGTGAACGATCGCCCTTAAATTGTTAAACTAGACGTCCTGTTTATCAGTCAGTAAATTGCTACCACCACACACGCAAACATAGACATAAACAATCGGAATATCGTGTTGGTATAAAAGGGACTGATAGACATTTGCGCAATCACCCTCTTTCAGATGATGACAGGTAGAGCCAGCTTGATTCTCCTTTTTCCCATTGAAACCACTCCCCAAGCAGGCGGTATTGAGGAAACGGCTCCACCTGCAGTCACCCCACCACAACTACCACCACCACCACCATCGGGGATCCTGACGACTTTTAATCCTTCTCCAAAGGCGGAAACGCTTCCTTACTGTCGCAGCTTGCTTCTCAATGAAAACAGTCCAGTGCAAGTGCACAACTGACTACACTACAGAACCCCCATCCCCCCNCCCCCCCCCCCCCCCCCCCCCCCCTAGTCGATTCACATCATATAAAATTCAAAATTCAAGCGTAATCTGATTCTATATTCCCCAAACCCTGCATATTGTGAGCTTCAATTGATAAATTTGATAATTTGTTGTTGAATATGCTTTCGTCAAAGAGAGTTTTTTTCAATTTTTCTTGAAGATGGTGTTTTGAAAACGTCTAAGAAAGGTGTAATTAATCGCAATACAACAACTTTGATTGCATACATGGGGTTTGATATTTTTAATATATTCAGTTATAAATACAAGTTCTCGCTGCACTGTAAATGTCGTTCAATAAGGCATTGAAAAATGAGCCTTCGTTTTAAAGATGATTTTGTATCGTTCTGGCACTTTGGTCATTAAAAGACAAAACAGGCTAGCTTATATTAAGTACCGACCCCGCTAACTCCACCCCAAATGCTCTGACAAATATAATCTCGTGACCTCTGACCTCAGCGTCACCGATACACCATGAGAATCATTTTGGGGGGAGAGGGGCTTTCAAGAACTCATAGCGTGACGCATGAACTCTGTGCGAAAAAAAAGCATTAAAAACAAACCGAATGAAATTCATAAAATTCCCATGTTGTAACAACTTGCGCGACCTCAGCTCTCAAGTGCATAAGCACCTGCATGACCCTCGCTCCTGATTTAACACCATGAAATTAATTGTTCCAGCCTAACTTCCTACCCTCCGAAGCCACTTCCTCCCAAAAAATAGATTTTATCTCCTATGGTAACGCTGGATATTAACCCCAATTTCATATCCCCTGACCTGTTCGGAAATTTGAATATCACCAGCGATCAGTTTTTTTTTGCGATAAGAAATAGCACTTGCAACATTTATTACCTCACATTGCATCCGAAACATTTTGGGGAGTAAATTTAATTTCGGACTCAATCAGTATGGAACCATTCAATTATTATTATTATTTCAAATGGCAGGCTTTGTGATATTTATCATTAGCCCTTAAAATTTAACTTCAGCTTCCACCAAGGGTGGGGGTACATTAATAGCAGTTAATTAATTGCAGTTCATTAGCCGTCTTCCTGCTTCCCAGTATCTCTGGCTTTCCGTCGTTGTCTTTAGGGCTGGACATCGAATCAGGTGGGTCTTCTCCATTTCCTCCTGTAGGTTACATAGGGGGCATGTGGGTTGAGTGTGTACTCCAAATCTGTGAAGATGTTTTGCCAAGCAATCGTGTCCGTTACGTAGTCTAAACTCAGCAACGGCTTCGCTTCTTGCCCAGTCGGGTATGTCGGAGGGTGCCACTGTCCACTGTTTCTCCTTTGTTCGAGCTTTAAGTTCGCTGCACCTTGTGGTCTGGAATTCTCCTCTCATTAAGGCCTTCATTGTGTGGAAAGACATCGGCCGGTCCATGCATTGCAAAATCGTTGTCCCCTTCTTAGCAAGCTCATTGCCTTTAATGTCACAGTGACCAGGAATCCATTGTAGTACCACTGTTTTGTTTTTTCTCTCAGCAGGTCATAGAGTTTTCTACATTCCTTTATCTCAGCTGTTTTGGGTGGCTCTCTGTTTCCAATTGAGTTTATTGCTGACTGTGAGTCCGAAAGCATCAATGCTTTGGTGAATTTCGTATCCAGGCAACATAATTGCCATAGTGCTATCCTAATAGCCTCTATTTTTCCTTCAAAAGCGGATCTATTGTGTCCCGCTGCTGTGTAGAAAAAGAAGAGTTCGGAATAGACACCTGCACCAAAGTTTGCTTGGTTTTCTATGTATGACCCATCAGTGAAGACTTGAAGCCATTGATCTGCAGGATAGTTGACATTGATTGTCCAGTGAGCGCATTTGCTCTGGAGGGGTGTTTGATTTCTTGAAGTGGTCAAGCAGTTGGGTGCAACACACTATATCATTGTCTGCTAATGGGTTCATGGGGAGAGAAGCTTTTTGGTTTATCATCGATTTGTAATTCTTTCTTCAGTTCTATGGCTTTCTGTATTAGATCAGATTGCGTTTTCAGATGTCTTGGTCTATTCTCATAGGTGCTGAAGAACTTATCCATGGGAATGCGCAGTAACTTCTCATAGAGGATCAAGGCCTTCTCTTTGATTAGGGAACATATTGTGGTGCTTCCTGTAACTGGGAGCATTGCATCAATGGGTGTTGATTTTATCCCTCCAGTAATTAGTCGTAATGCTTCCATTCAATGAAGGATTCCTTTTTTAATTGTCCGAAAATGCTTATGTATATGTAGGGAATTNTTCATTACGGCCACCAAGATTGGTTTAGGCAATTTTTTTCTGGAAAGAAACCATTCATTGCAGACACGTGGATGCGATTTGGACAGAAAGACGACTGTTTCTCTCCTACAGTTATGATCTGTGTTCCCCGTGTTTTCTCCGCCTTTTGAAATCTTACGAATGTTGATTTCATTTAATTCCTCCAGTTTTCAATGCGAAAAAAGTCTACTTTCGTCAGTATTTTCGTTGTTATATATATTGCAGAGACCAGTTTTTTTCCTAAATAAATGAACTCTTTCAGAGACAAACAACAACATTCGTCTAATATATTTGGTATGTGGGAGAAATTTATCCGAGTAGAACCCTGTTTGGCTTCAACTACCAACTATAAAGCTTAATCAATGGCATAAACCAACCGGCCATAGAGAATTTCATCAAGAAAACGTGAATCGATTTTTGATAAGGACAATATAAACAAACCATTTACTCACTTAGAACGTGGCCAATTGAATGCTTCTGTAAACAAAACAAGGTAAGACTCTTGTTTACTATATTCTTCAACGTGGGTGTGCGATTGACTTACCTCTACGTGGTACACCCTGAGCAACGTATACTCATACAGCAAAAAAGCCTATAACTCGGCATTCGACTTCAAATTTTTGAAGCCAGCTAAGGGGCCAATGATAAATATCAAAAAGCCTGCCATTTGAAATAACAATAATATTCTTCAAATTCTTAGACAATATCAAAGTGGTTTTTTGCTTTTGGAAATTAAAAGGATATTAATAATATTCTGAGCAATTGCGCATTTAAGATCAATGAAGCTACCATCTTCGATTGATTTATTGATTAGTTGATAGATGCTTCCATACTTACCGCAAGACATGCTAAAACGAAATGAAAAGGCACCCATCATTAATGAAAAAGAGGCGTTTTGATCTTGTCCTTGCGTAAAATATTCATATTTTATTAGAGATTTGTCCACACCCACCCACCCACCCTTGTCTTGATCAGATCAGCAAAACTATACAGGTTACAATTAAGTTAGGGGGAGAGGGGCGTTGTGGAGAGAGAGTGGAGGAGCAATATTGAAATGTAGATACTCGATCAAAAGTGGTAAAAGAGAGAGAGAGAGAGCGAGGAGAGAAATTCGCGTCACAATGAGGTAATAGGAGAGTTAAGATAAAAAGAAGTGAGTGAGATTTGTGCCATCATACTGTCCATTTGTTTAAAACATGGGTGATTGTGTCACCATTGAGATAGCATTCTGCGTATTTTCACCATCAGCTTTTTGGGTCACTGAATTGTAGTTAGTGGCAATGCCGTCCATAGATGAGGAATTAAGGGGAGCGGTGGGAGGATTCGAGGGATATACTGTTGCAGGTGTTGTAACTGCTGATCCAGTAGTGTTCGGATACATTCTCGCTCCTTCTTCATACGAACAGCGGTCAGCGACGAATCTGTGTTGATATTGATTACCTTCAGGATTTGTTGAGACCTCTTCTTCATTTGTGGAATTATCTGGTAGCACTGATAGGAAATTCCTCTGGAAAGGTGCTTTGGGGAAATGCTGACCTTCAAAGAAATTATAGGATGCGTTGTGTTGATTAAAAACCGGAGAATCGAAGTAATTTGTGGATGTCTCTTCAGGACTTCGGTAAGATGTTGCCTGGGGATGAATTTGATGTGGATGGGTTGGATAATTCAAAGGAAAGTTTGCTTGGGTAGGGATGGGATAAGGTGAAGCCTGGTTTCCATTGATAGCAGCCACAGCATTTGCCACTCTAGCTGTTGCATTTTCAATTCCAGAATAACCAGAGCCTGTGTTGTATGAAGATACATCTCCAAGGCAAGAATTCATATAACCCACGACCTTCTGGGGATCATATCCAGGTGCGACACCTGGAAAATGATTCAATCCTGGTCTCATGAAGTAGTCCAAACCCAGTTCTTCAAGTTCCGTCAAACCAGTACTACTAGATCTATTTTTCTTTGACTTTTGCGAAACTTTTCGATTACGGGTCTGAATGCCATCCTTTTTCATCGATATTGGCCTTTGTACCTGAGGGAGATAAGAATTAGCAAATTAAATCCCTCAGCAAGCACCATATGGGAGATGTTAGGTTTAGGGCCTCCCCTCCTACTTTTGTGGTTCCCTTTTCGCCTATATCACGAACACATTAGAGTCGTGCTGAGTATGCTCAAGCTTTTCCCTCGCGAAATCTCTGCGTACACACTGCTTTCCCGTCTAGCCTTGGCGCCAACTCTATATTGGCGCCAGCCCAAATTGGGACTGAGTCCAATCTGTGCTGAAATTGGGAGGTGGGGGGGTGGGGGGGGGGGGGGAAGAGAAACTCGTGCACAGGTGGTCACTAGGGGTGAGAACGGCTCCAATCACTATTTGAGTCCACATTCTACACTACAATCTGGTTCTCCGCCTTAAAAGCTTTCGTTCTTAATCTCTCCGCTCTTATCCGCTGTTGTCTTGAGTGGAAATACCCGACAATTAATTATCAGTCGAAAACATCTGTCCTTTTTCACGAGGTACACTCCATTCCCAGTTAGTGAATTGCTAATCTCAAAATCTAATCAATTTATCCCGTGGACAAAATCGATAGTGAACTTACAGAGTGAAGCTTAAAGTAAAGTCCACAGGCATTGCACACGGGTTCGCCATTTGTATTTCGTCTCCAGAGGGTTGTTATGTTCGTGTGACAATTCGAACATACTGTTCCAGTTCGCCTATTTGAAGATTGCTGAAATGAGCAAAGGAGAAGGAGTGATAATTTCCATGTTGACAGCTAACTAAGATGGTTAGGCAAGATTTCATGCTGTTGGGATTATTTCTGCTTGATTTAATCTAGACGTCAGTTTGGAATTTAATTTAAAGTTATATTATCTCATCATCAAACTCATCACGGTAACTAAATATCAATTCTCCTAATCGGCTTAAAATTATAACCAAACAGGGATAATTGAAGCATAAAAGCTCTAACTAGCAACCAAAATTCGACCATTTTAAAATCAAATTAAACTCCTGTATTTGAGTCGAATCCATTAACAATCTAAAATAGTACTTAGTATCTCGCAGAAATATGTCGAAATGAGGTCAGTTTCTCAAGGAATCTCTTCTTCGCGTTCTCATTAGTGCCTTTTGTTCTCAAATCTGGGACAAGTTAGATTTGCTCTATTAGAATGCCTCTAGTCTATTTTTCCTTTCATAGGGGTACGAGTTCAATCTGTCAATCTTTTCTCCCTATTATGTCAGTCAAAATAATAGAGGCTTATTGGTTTCTCCTTTTTTTCGCGTGGTCAAATAGCGTGACTATTATAGAAAAACCTCATTTCCCCCAATTCGGTCCTTCGCCTCCTCCCCCCCCCCCCCCACCCCCCACCCCCTCCCCTTCTATCTATCCACACAATGGTTAGTAATAAATAGTGTCACATTAGCTTACTCCCGCTAAGGTGGTATCATTGTGGCCATCAGTTTCCCAAAGCAGTAATCCTCCTACCCCTCCTTCCAAATGGAAACTCGAATTGGAATAAATGATGGCTCACGCTATTTATGGAGAGTAGAAAGGAGGGATGTGGAGATTTAGGAGAGAAGGAGGGCTAAGCTTTCCCTCTGGACATCCTTGCGTGAGTTAGAACCTATAGGCGCCGAGTTTCAAGCCTCACGCAAATTCAAAACAAAAGCGATCCCGGGGTGGGGGGTGGGGGTGGGGAGAAGAGGGAGGGGTATCATTAAGGAGAGTGACCAATTATTCAATTCGCGTCGAGGTATTACCCACCTTTCTCCCCCAACTCTTAATGTTCGCGTAATTTTTAATCGCATGCCATTATACCATTGATCAATTGCATAGGAAAGTACAGCCGAATTGCATTTTTTTTTGCTTTTAATCGATTTTTTCCCAGTAGTTGAATTCCGTTCACGTCTAACAAATAAATCGATATTTAACCCCATCCCCCCCCCCACACACACACACACACAAAACTGGTTGCATTTGAATGAAAACTTTCGCATATTATTGAGGCTAGAATGTAGAGATACAAATCTATTGTCTGTCGATGGAAAGAAAAGATAATGCATATTCCTGTCCTGTATAGTCATACGAGGTGATTTCCGGTGTTGACCTTATTATGTTCCCTCCCCAAGTCTTGCTATCTCCTTGTGTAGAATACATATTTTGAGATAGGCTGCTGCTGCTGCTGCTCCTGCTGCTACTGTATTTCCTGTGGTCTATGCCTGACAATAAGAAGTACTCCCCACTTCCGTTTCTATAACACAATACCTTTACCAGGAAACCCTTTCTGTACACACACACACACATACATACTCCCTTTTTCATGCTTATGACTGCATACATACAATCAAAAAATAGAGTAAATTGATTTATAACTCCCCCCTCCCCCCTCCCCCCCCCCACCTGTAAAAGTTTATCCAAGTTGTATTGTGAGTAATAAGCTTACCAAGCGGCGTTTGGGTTTAATAAGAGGTCTATTTTGCCCATTCATCTTCTGATAAAGACCGCAGGCATTACAAAGGTAGTTGCCTTGTCCATCCCTTCGCCACAATGGAGTTGATGTTGCTCCACAGTTTACGCACTCTCGACCTTCTATAATTGGAAATAAAGATGGCCTGAAATTGCCTTTAAATGTTGTCCAATATCCTTCTGAATTGAGTTTACCTGTAACGGACATCTTTTTGTTCTTTGAAAGCCTACCACTGGCAGCTAAACCATTAACTGCCATTCTGAAAGAATTCGGAACTTGGGCAGAAAGGAAACCAGCTCCGGATGCCTGATGCGAATCTGAAGGTGACTTGCCTTTTGAGCCCATAACGGAAGCTAGATGATATGCAGCCATGTTGACGGATTCTGGGCTTCCAGCAGAGTCAGAATTCGCAATAACTGTGCCGTCATAATAAGCTTGCTGGTACATTTGCTGTTGGTAATCATACGGGGTTGGTTTCGTTGATTCCTGTTCACTAGCCGAAGAAGTGGGCGTGGACGTCTTTGGATCCCAAGAATTATTCCTCTGAGAGAACCAACAGCCGAAATCTTGACCTGGCTTAAAGTTTCTATTCTGCGATTGCTGGAACTGGCGAGTCCAGTTAAGTCTGAACAAATCCATTGCAGCGGCTGGATCTTCAGAAAGGTGGGCGGTCTGTGGTAGTCCATTCGTCGCTTTCGTCTCATTGGCTGGCGAGGAATTGGTTGATGGAGGGGTCAGTGTACTTGACTCTCTCTGTTGGTGAGAAAGGAGGCTTTGTTGAGTTTGTTGTTGTTGATGACCGGCCAAATTTGGGAGAGCCGCATTAAATGCATGAGAATATTCATTCGAGAACGACTGTGGGCAGCTTGCCCCAGTACTTCCCCTACTATTTGTATTGGAAGAATTTGAATTTGTTGTAGCATTTGTGTGTCGATAGCCATTAAAGGTGCTATCGGAGGAAAAAGACTGAGGATTGAATTGGGTGTGATTAGGGAAACCGGGAGACGAAAATGCTGGTTGGCCAATGTAAGTGGTCTCTTGATTCCACCGAGGGTCCATAATCAATTTCACGTCGGTGACACTACTGAAATTACGGAATGGATGGGAGGTTAAGCTAAAACCTGAAGTTAATTTGAAGCAACTTCAACGAAGTAAACAAAGTGGTATACTTTATTCTATAATTGGTAACACTGGTAGTAAATTCATTCGTATTGAATGAATACTGAAGATTGCGCTCTGCTAAGCGAAATCCACTTGAATTAATTTATATTGTATACGATTATCATGTTTTCTCAACCTTTGAGAGAAAAATTGACCTCTGCAGAAAGGTTAGCCACCAGCTAAGGCGACCGCCCAATAGGCACTGCATATCACGAGCTGGAATTCGTTCACTTATTCATGAAACAGAACATGGAATTGAAATATCCCACACAACCGAAGAGCTCAAAATCAGCTGAAGTAAGACTTGTGGGTCCCTTGACGTTGCTCTAAGAGTCTTTTCGCCCCCCCTCCCCCTACCATATACAACTTATTGAAATTGTTGTTAATTCGCCTTGAAAGTGTCTAACCCTTATTCACACCAATGATCCCTCATCGATCTCCCTAAGAATTTCCTTTAAAACCCACGCCCGCCCCACCCCGCCCCTAATCAACTGACGGGGAGAGGCAGTCGAGACAAGCTTGGACTGGACCTCATTTCCTGACCTAGTTTTACTGCATTTAGATCCTTATCAACGGTCGAGTCGGGAGAAAGAGAGTATCGAAGTTGGGCTGAATTTAACCCGAATTCCTCTCTCTCTCTCTCTCTCCCTCCATTTTTAATATATATATGGAAACACAGAGTAATTTAATGCATCTAAATTAAGCAAGAAATTGGAAGATTAATGAGCAAATGCTCGACCGCCCAAACAGGTTAAAAAGCAATCAATCTTTAGAACTGAAACCAATTCCCAAAATCATGATTACCCGAAAATTCTTTGCTAATCTATCGATTTTTGGCAGTAATTTTCAAAAGCCAGTTTCGCTCTAGTTTACTGAAAGGAGATGTATTATTAATTCATCATGTGGGCGCTGACAAAAGCCCCCCCCCCTAGAAAGCGGGACGAAATTTCGCACATTAACCAGGAAGTGTAGGTAACAATTGATACCCGCATTTCCGGTCTTTGATTGAGAGCTACAATGGGTTCCCCCCCCCACTTGCCCGAAAGTGATACACACTGCTTCAGCATTACTTCTGAGAGTGAACTTTCCGTAGAGTATACCAGCATATATCTATCACATTTAGTGGGGGGGGGGGGGGGGGGTGGACGAGGGGAAGAGAATTTTGCTCCCTTGGTAAGCTGAGAGTTAAACCGAATCCCCTTACTATTTTCTACCAGGCTTTGAGTGATTCATATGCAGGATGGGTTTGAGGTAATTACCTCGAGAGAGAGAGAGAGAGAGATATTAGGAGATAATAATTTGATTTCCAGGTAGAGTGAGTGCAGAAATATGATTAGGTGATGGGGGCATGAGAAGGAAGAGTAGTAGTGCTAAAGTGAGGTAGATAAGATCTGCAAAACGTGATAGACGCTCGTACCTACGGAAGTCCGACTGCAGTATTGGTATCCCACTTAATTCCTCTTTTCTCCGCCCTCTCTACTCACCCAATCACCTTTGAGACAGGAAGAGAACTCTCGCTATCTCTCTCTCTCCCTCTCTCTCTCTCCACACCTCCCTCCCTTCTTTCCCTCTCACATTTCCATCCTCGTTAGCAGAGTGTGTGTGTGTGCGTGTGTGTGTGTGTGTGTGTGTGTGTGTGTGTGTGTGTGTGTTGACATTAGGAAAGCGATACCATCTCTACGTACAGTACACTTTCTCTCCTACGTATATATTGTATTACCTATGAAGGGAGTAATTAAGACCCTGTCCTACGCATATCCGCTGTTTGATCCCATAATAAATGCACTTTATAATTCAGTACCTTACGGAGCACACAAAATAAACTATTTCAAGAATTACCCACCCCCCACCCCCAAATTCATCGCTAAATCAGCTTGAACGAGTGCATTGCAGTAAACGCAACTTCAAACGAACATGTTTTATTGGCCATTAGCCTTCATAAATCGATATTCTAATAAACGCTTATTTAAATGCAGTTAGATCATTTCATTCTCTTAAAAGTGCTACTTGAAGCTGAATTTATGAGAAAGTTATTTCAATTCAAATAATTCCAGAGTGAGGGGAGGTGGAGGTGGTAAATCCAGTTAATCCCCTCAAAAAAACAGTTTGGTTCGCAAAGATGCCAATTCCTATCGCCTTTCAACTATGGCCGGAGCTCAGAAAAGTTCGTGAAATGAACATCTCGTTTTTAGCTTTCATTAATTAGAGATAAACTGCTGATTGTAGGTCTGGTTAGTGCAATGCTCTTTGAAATCTTTAAGAAGCTGAAGGCATGAGTCACGGATCAATAGCATCTACTAGGTTTCAAAAAAGCTCGACAAACCAATTTCTGTGTCCTACTCATCATCATATCGTCATCATCATCATTCTACGGCACGGTGATAAAACTGCGCAGATAAGGCCGAGGTGGGGGGGGGGAAGATTTTAAAAGCCCGGAGAGGAATGAGATAGCATCAAAATTGGCGAATATGCGCTCTTCCATTATACTCAAGCGCCCGCGTGTGTGCATGCTCGGCCATCCCATCCCATCCCAGACCTGCCCACCCGTAAATCCTTTCGCGCACCCCTCCCCTCTCTAATAGTCCTCCCCCCCCCCCCCCCCACCAACACCACCACCACTACTCATTCCCAGAAAAAACCACACACATACTCTCAAACAGAAGCATCACAGACGTCTCACATACACGTGGCTGAACTTTTACCAAGCTGAAAATGAGGAAGGGGTCCTCGATACAGGTACTCATACTGCGGAGGGGCCGGGGGGGGGTAGATGGCCTGCTAATACCCTTCCATAAATTCATTGAAGGTGCAAAATGACAATAGGGGAGGTCTGAAGGAAGCCTCTTTTGTGGTAAAAGTAAAAAGAGTGGGGGGAGGGAGGCAATGGTTATTCTTCTAATCGGGTTTTTATGCGATGCTCTTCTATGGGAGAGGTAGGGAGGCTATTAATTGGAACAGATTTTAAAGTTTCGGTGGAAGAATGACGTCTCAAAATTGGGACCTTTTGGAGGTGATGCCTAATTGCTTAGAATGGGAATACATATGGGTAGCCGTGAAATATATATATATATATATATATATATATATATTGGCGGTGTGAATATAGCTTTGACTGTCCAAATGTAACTTTATTCCATTCTACATCCCATTTCTGCCACCATATTCCTGAGATAGGAATTCGCTATTCTAACTAATTTCATTTCCACTCAAGACCACATTTGTTTATTCAGCCTATAATAATACTCGGATATAATGGGGGTTATAAAGCCATTTGAGTAAATGTCTGAAAATTTGGTTACATAAATGCGGATATCAGCAATTCTTTTAAAAATTCAAACTTCTACCGAACGAAAATTTACCATTAAATCCAGCGAATATATATTGATTTCTTCATTTTGAGACTGCTTTCACTCCCGTTCCACCCTCCCCCCCCCTCTCACCCGCTACCAATAATCGATATTAACTATTAAATTAGCAAAGTAGCTATTTAATTTATGTTACTAACCTTTCTTCTGAACAAAATTTCTTTCATATGAGATTAAACACACCCACTCGTACACACAGAGAAATTCGAAAATACCTCCTTGCAAACGTTGCTATTGAGTTTCATCTGAACTTCAGCTATTGACACTTATTTCTGCTTGCTGACTAGTGTCATATCACACTATGTGTAAAGGAAAGAAAGAAGAAATGGGAATTTAGAAATCTCTGCACAGTTCAAGCATATGGATGGCGATCTTACTGTTTTCGAAGCGGTTCCTAGAGGTTTAAGCACATTGAATTTGATGTTTGAGGATGTGATACTGATATACGTCATCTTGCCTGCATTAAAGCTTAGAGCAACACCTAAAAGCTACGATCTCAAGATAAATTTCAAAGTACATCTGAAGTTTCGCAATTCACTGTCTTCGCTTCATTTCCCTTGAAATGGGAATTCAAGTTTTATTGCGACAGCAATTGACACCAGTGGCAATTCTAGCTCTGATAGATTGAATCTTGCTAAACTCAACAGACGTTTGGTTTGAGCTTACAAGAAATTCATCATAATGAAGCGGGAATTGAAAATTGACAGAACAGTTGACAATCATTTAAGTCGCCTTAGAACTTATCTGAACCCCGGCATGAAATTCAAATGGACGTTTGAAATACGTTGAAAGCTATGAATTTTAAATTGTGGAATAAGAGCACTAAAGATTGGTTCTGCTAAAAATTATTATCAATGCTGTACTTGAACAATGAACAGAGTTTACATCAGAAACTTGAATACAATAGAACTGTGGTGAGAGAAATAAAAATAATAAAATTAGTCAAAAGAGTTACATATTCATTCCTTTCAGTCTAATAATTACGATTACAATTTTAAGAAAATTTATTCAATATGGTGAGTTGAGAACAATAAATAAATCTCCCACCTATTCCAATGAATATTAATGCGTTGGATAAGTGTTAAGTGTAAAAAACCATCATAATGGCAGTAGATAGAATAGGGAACTTACTTTGAGATCGCCTGATGAAACACTTCTATGGAACTTTTAATCCTCGCTTGGGCTGAATGAGAAGGAAGATCTGATATAACCCGTGGAAGGTGGGAAAGCAGTACGCTCTTCTGTTTGTGTCGCGTGAACGATCTGTAGATAAACTCGCGATGATAAGACACCGACAGACTTAGTGCTCCTCTCTCACTTAAAAGAGGAAAAAGATGTAAAAAGATAACCAGTAGCTCGTAGCCGTAGAAGGTAGACAGGGTGACTGATTATAATCAGGGATGAGTGAGTGCTATTCGGCCGATATCACCGCACACAGTAAGTTTAGATTGTTAACTAACACTTTAAAGCGAATGTTGGATTATTTTGCTTGACCGTATCAGACCGAGGTGCGTGTATAAGCGCAAGAATGAA